AACTCTGAAGTGTCGAGCGACGTGAAGTTGCGTGCTCCCTGCCATAAGCATCGTGATAGCATGTCCTCTATCAACCTGTGATAACCGTGGCATAATTGTAAAAGGAATTATTGTTTGCAAAAGTATTGGCGATGATGTGTCTCGATGGTAGTGATAAATTGATACTGGTTTGAATGAAAAAGAACGCATAGGTTTGTACAGGCACGGTTTTTGATGTTTTTACCGCGCCGGATGTGCATAGGTTTCTCGTCACACCTGGTTGATTTTGACCATTGGTTAGGGTGATAGGTAGGGTGCACTTTTATTTCCGCGATTTTTATACAGCATTGTATATTTAATGCAAAATTAATAAAAATTTTCCAAGTTGCGTTTTTTTTTTCGTTTCAGTATATAAAAAAAAAAATTTTTTAGAAAATACCACTGCATACTGAGTTTGTTGTTTACAAATGTGTAGAAAAGATGGCTGTATACCAAGTTTATAGTTTACAATTGTCTAGAAAAATCACTGTATACTGAACATAATACGACTTCTGTTTAAAACCTTTATTTAAACTTAGACATGTATTTTTTTTTTATTTATCTTAAACGTCTACCTACAACAATTTTGTGTATGCAATCTTGTACTAGAATATTGACATGACAAGATTACATTGCTGATCAAAGCATGGAAAGAATACTGAATAAAGAAAACAAGATATAAGCATCTTTATCATGTTTTTATTTTTATTATTATCATTATTATTATTTTTCCATGATGTCTGTCCACATGGAATTTGTAAGCAATCTTGTGCATTCTTATACCACCAAAAGGATGGGTAAATTGAATCAAGTTGTCTATCTGTCCATCCATCTGTTTGTCTGTCTGTAGACACATCTTGTCTAGACAACTCCCATGAAACTTTACAGTAATATTCGGGACAATGTGTAGATGTGCATGCACCATTTTCCCCTCGAAATATTTATTGCCATGGCAACTGGTCAATATAGACAGGTTTTGCATGTCGGTCAATTTCTAAACCTGTGGACCAATTTCAACAAAACTTCGCAAGAATATTAGGGAACATGTGCACATGCCGCTGTGTTTCAGAGGATGTTTCTGTGCAAAAGGTCACCATGGGGAGATAACTAAGGCTGTGGGTGTTGGGGGTATTAGTTATCATTTGGATTGCAGTTTCAGTTATCCCTGGGCAATATGGAGAGGATATAGTAATGATTATGAGGATTGAATGTAGAGGTCACAGTACTTGCATGAGTACTATATGATTACCTTGTAAACGCATTGAGACCAAGACAGTTAGTATACCTTAATCAAATTTGGAACATGTATCCCTTATGAGGAGAAGTCGGTTTCTTTAGAAATTCAGTGTCAGATGTCAAAGATCATGGTCACAGTCAAAAAACAGATAGTTGCATGGGGGTGTTTTTCCTTTGCATTACCCTGGTTTTTATATCAAATTTCACAACCTAAAACATATTCACATCTTGCAAATTTCAAGGTTCAAGGTCACTGTAAGGATGTTAAAAAATGATAATACAAGAGGAATAAAATATCTTGCGACAAGTTTTAGAGAACAAAGAATATATATACATGAAAAATTGGAACAAAGACAATATCTACTTGAAGATTCCCTGAAAAAGTACAAGGAGAATAAGACCAGGTTTTCCAGAAGAATAGGCATCTTCTATTTTAAGTTATGGTGACAAGTCATGTTTGTTTTAGAAAATTGGCACTCTTATGCAGTCATTTACAAACAATCTGGAAAATGAAGCTGTCCAATATTTGTATGTAGCATGTTATTTGCATGATGGTCTAACTAATGGTCTTCAACCAATAAGATACGCAGTCTTTAAAGTGATAATATGGTGTCCAAGATCAACATTCCCTACAATGTATCCAAAGAAATGGACAACTTCCCTATCATTGCATCTTGGAGCCTACTTGGGACATGTATTACAGAAGTAATACTACTATGCTTGTTATTTCTGATATCTGCTGGTCATTTTTTATGGGCTGCAATGATTTACTGCTTGCACATAGTTGGTTTCAGTATATAGCAAGCTAATAACAAAGAATTTATTTTTTAATGGTCTTAGCATACCAGTACTTTCATTTTATTTCTCTGGTGTGTAACTAAAGGTAAACAAATGTAACCAGTGATCACTTGACATTTCCTCGATTTGTTGTATTATAAATTAAGGAATTTCTACTTAGGTAATAGAATCCTTAATTGCAGTTAAATCTCACTGAAACTGAATGTTACATTCCAATTAAGTTTACCAAAATTCATTTGAATATCCCAATATATGTATCTTTAATTTAATATTCTAATTTTACAGGTCAACTTAGAACTAGTTTTAAATCTAAATTTAGATGCTGGAAACTGGGAAATTTCCCAATTTGACATCTTATTTTTGGTAATTCAGTAAATTTAATCTAAAATCAAATTTTGTGTGTATTTGATCATATAGAATTTGCATGCACTGTATTTCCCATAACCCATTAACTAACCTCTGCTTTTATGTTATATTGTCATCTGTTTTTCTGTGAATTCTAAAGTGGGCAGATTTTTAATAAAAACTGCCTCATCTTTACATTAGCATATATCACAAATAGTTTGCAGTGTGTTAAGTAAATCTGTTTGCACTAGTATGTATGATTGCACAGTTCTATTTTGGATTGGGGTATAATACACAATGCTACATGTTTGCCAAACACAATACCTCCAAGCAAGGAGCTCACCATAATAGTTGCAGTAAGGAAGTAAGATTTTGTCAGTCTTTAGTCAACACAAAAATAATTGTTATGAATCTTCAGCTTTATTATGAAACAATAATTTGTTTTCATATCAATTCAGGGTGTGTTATTATTCACATGGATCCAGAGAATTTTTCTTGACGAAATTTTCACTTGGTGTCTTCCAGCTGAAAATGAAAAAAAAAAAAAAAAAAAAATGGGAAAAACAAGAATGTATGTGAAATATTAAATGTATGATGCAATCCATCTATAAACCTTGCTGCTGTGTCTTTTGCTTCAGTGTGCACTGCTGGGTGCTTTTCACATTTTATAATTTAACTGGGTTAACTTCAAACTTAACTTAGTATCAAAAATATTTTTATTGAAAAATTCATTTAATACATAATGACTGATGTTATTGCTGCATATATCTACACACCTGGAATTTGTAATAAAGAGGAGAGAGAACCAGCAACACTGATTTCAGGAATATTCAATTTTTCCAAAACATCAGTTGCTACGACAGTTTACTTCATCTCGTTTAAAATCCAAAGTCTTTTTTTTCTCTGCAAAGTACATAACCCATGGCCATTCATCAACCTGAAAAGAGTAAAACATTTTGATTTAAATGATGAATAGTTATCTGAGCCAACATTCTTTGGCTGTTTGGTTTATCTATTCATTTATTTATCTATCTATTTATTTATTTACTTTGATTTGAATACAAAAAAAGTCTTAGTGAAAACTCCTGTACAAGCGGTATAAAATTTGTATGGCACTTCTATAGCATTCTATAGCTTTCTTGGAAATGTTTACTTCATATATACAGATGAGAACAGTTTCTTATTAAATCAAATTTAAATTTAAAACACAAACATTCATTAAAACTTCAGTAAAATTGGAAGTTGATATCTTGCAATTTAATATGTAATCCTTGTTCACATGTCATCACAAGTTATTTAATAATTAAGATAACTTTATAAGATATTAACTTCCAGTTTACATTATTTTTATAGTTTTTAATTGGGAAAAGTAATCATGGGTGAGAGGCACTTGTTTTGCAATTAGTTTGGTGGTGGGGTTAAATCCCCATTTTTGTAATTAATATTCCATATACTAAATGTTCCATGAATAGTGGGATTGCTTAAAAAATAAAGATAAATTTGTAAAAGCTCAAACAGAAATTGGAAACAATTTAACAAATGATAACTCATTATCAGTTCAGTTCAGATATTAGACAATTTGTAAAAGCACAAACAGAAATTGGAAACAATTTAACAAATGATAACTCATTATCAGTTCAGTTCAGATATTAGACAATTTGTAAAAGCACAAACAGAAATTGGAAACAATTTAACAAATGATAACTCATTATCAGTTCAGTTCAGATATTAGACAATTTCACTCTACCTATTTGCACAGTACTTTAACTTGCCGGGTTGACAGTTTATTATGAAGACTTTTTGGTTGCCTTGTCAATGGAGTATGGTTACTGAGTGGTCCTTCAGCTTGGTCAAGGGGTGGCTTTCGTCTGATGGATGGATGGCTGTTTAGTCCGATGGTTGGATGGCTCAGTGTTCCCACTCACTTTTCAAACTGGGGGTATTCATACCCCCACCTTCCAAAAACTGGGGGTATGAAGTTAAAAAGTGGGGGTATGATTGATGTTATAGGTATATAGGGTCAAATTCCATGTTTCTTTTCAGTTCATATTAGTTAATGTGTTCTTTATGGAATATGAGGATGAGTATGTTTGATTTATTGTTCTAATTTTATTGTTTCACTGAAAATAAAATAAAATACAAATATCACTGAATGAAATGTGTTTTTTTATTATCATCGATCCAATGGCATCAAACTGTTTTTGTTATAATACTGTTGTAAACATTTTTCTTGGAAACATACTATGTAGCACTTGTATTAATAACAAGGCCAATGATAAGTAACATTAAAGGTTTTACAACACAGAGTTAAGACAGTACTAGCGAAATATTGCTTTTACAACATTTTGTCACAAGCTCTGTGGACAATTTCCTCTGGATCAAAGTCATCTTTGTGTGAATAATATCCAATGACCATTCTGTCCTCAACAGTAGAAACACTTCTTATATTTGTTGAGGCAGAATGGTGACGGTTTTGGAGTGAAAATCCCCTTTCACAGGGGACTGAAGTTAATGGCACAGTCATGAATATACCAGCTAGAACACAAAAGCCTGGAAATTCCTCAGTGTAGTCATTTGTGATCTTTAAACACATGTCTGTTACCTCAAAATGTCTTGTTAACATTTAGCAAAAATTTGAACTGCAGATACTCATCTCTGGTTCTATTAGGATCAATGAGATTGTCACCTTCACCCCCTCCATATTTCTCTATCACTCTCTCAAGGGATTCTGTGCCATGGTTAACAATACCTGCATGGTTCACTGGCAGTATGTTCGGATTAAGAACATCATTCAGGTCTTTCAAGTCCCTCATATTGTCTTCTGGAAAGCGTTCATTAAATTCTGACACCAAGTTTCTGACAAAAGCTCGCTTAACATCTCTGAATACAATCCTATCCCTAATAGAACATGTAAGTGGAATCCCTTTGTACTCATCAGATTCCTCAATAGTGTCTAACAAATCAACTACAGTTGGAGGGTCAGTATGGTAAAAAGATTGTATGGTATCTCGAGCTGAGATAACCATAGATGTGACCTGCTGAATATCAATAATGTCTCTCTGGAATGTTCTGGATAATTTACATAATATGTTCAGTATATCCTTCAATAGACATAATACTGAAATGAATTTGAATGTCTTGATGTCTCTCCCTATCCCTTTTGCTTTTGCTCCACCCTCAGTTCTGGGAGCATTGGCGGCTTCATGTTCCATTCCTAAGATGAGTACCGACCAGCTTTCATAGACTGCAATTATTGCATCTTGTAGTGATAACCACCGAACCTCTGTTGGTTTTTTAAACTTCTTAACCTTTTCTTTCATGATTTTTTTCAATTCCCTAAGTTTGTTATAACGTGGAGCTGAAAATTCATAATAATAATAAATTGCTATTAACAGCTCCTGTACTTTTCTTAAGTATGGAACTTTCTTAGCAGCCCAATGTGCCACCAAAGACAACCTATGTGCTGCACACCATACATGAATTATGTGAGGATTCTGTGCCCTTAACTTCACTCCAACACCTGAAAGTCTACCAGTCATCACTGCTGCTCCGTCACTTCCAAATCCAGAAATGTTCTTGAAGCTAATGCCAACATCGTCCATCCAATTTACAATAGCATTATATATTGTATCTGCTTTTCCATCACTTACAGTTACATTTGCACAGAACTCTATTTTGATTTGACCAGCATGTACAATTTTACAAAACATAATAAGTTTTTTATTTGTGGCAATATCCATGGATTCATCTACCATAAGACCAACAAATGGACTATCTCTCACTCAGACAATGGTCAATTCTCTCAACACGTCTGCCAGTGCTCTTTGCATATCACTAGGTGCCTGATGATTTGTATAAATCCCACTTGATGAAGTTGAACTCCTTCCCGCGGAACTCTTTTGAAATACTGTTGATCCATTTGAAATCTGATTAAAAAATGAAATAATAAATTACTGGTAGTGGTATTCTTTAGTTTGTTTTATTCATAGATCATTTTAAAATGTTAATGTTAAATGACATGAATTTATTTTTAATTATTTACTATTAACTAGTTAAAATTTGTTATTTATCCAAATTAAAACTAAGAATGAAATCCTAACAATTTGTTTAATAACATGTCTCCAGTATAGTCACGTGTACAATGTATTTTGTGATTTTGTTTTTTATCCACATTGACAATATTCATAACAATGGTAATCCTTCCCACTGTTCTGACCATTAATCAAATTTCTTACACTAATGAAATAACCACCTGCAGATCTACTAAGCTTATAAACTTGCGGTTAGCAATGTTCTCCTTGGCCAGCCACAGTGCCGTCTTCAGTTGAGCCTCAAGTATAGGCTGATAATTCTTTTTCAAGCATGTTTTGGCAGCGTTCATGTACACCTTTTGTTGTTTTGTCTGAATCGATAGTAGATGATCTTTTGACTGCTGATGTCGCACAAGCGGTGATCTCTGAAAATGTTTGGTTCCTTTACAAAACGGCGAAAATTTACAGTGCGGCATTTCCTTACATAGGGAACAGAACATACCGGAATCTTCTTTTCTCAGCCAATCGAATTCTGACAGCCATTTCTGTTGAAAAGTTTTTGGATATTGTGCCGATGATGTTTTGGTATGTTTTCTTGTTTCAGACGAGCTGTCTATTTCATCATCATCTCTACTTTTTCGTTTGTTTCTGCTAACAGCAGACGATTCCCAAAAGCTATTGAGTGTCACCTGCGCCATTTTGTGTATACATCCTCTTCCACATACTCTTTGACACCATCTCTTCCACATCCTCTTTGGACACCACCTTTTGCACATCCTGTTTGGACACTACCTCTTCCACATCCTCTTTGGACACCACCTCTTCCACATCCTCTTTGGACACCATCTCTTCCACATCCTCTTTGAACACCACCTCTTCCACATCCTCATTTGACATCACGTGTTCCACGTCCTCCATGGACACCATCTCTACCACACCTTCTTTGGACACCACCTCTTCCACATTCCCTTTGGACACCACCTCTTCCACATACTCATTGGACACCATCTCTACCACATTTCCTTTGGACACCATCTCTACCACATCCTCTTTGGACACCATCTCTACCACATTTCCTTTGGACAACCTCTATACCACATCCTCTTTGTACACCACCATTTCCACATCCTCTTTTGACATCACTTGTTCCACATCATCTTTGGACACCACCTCTTCCACATACTTTTTGGACCCCACATTTTCCACGCTTACGTTATAACATCACCTCTTCTACATCCTCTTTGGACATCGTCTCTTCCACATCCTCTTTGGACACCATCTCTTCCACATCCTCTTTGGACACCACCTCTTCCACATCCTCTTTGGACACCACCTCTTCCACATCCTCTTTGGACACCACCTCTTCCACATCCTCTTTGGACACCACCTCTTCCACATCCTCTATGGACACCACCTCTTCCACATCCTCTTTGGACACCACCTATTCCACACTTTCTTTATAACATCACCTCGTCCACATCCTCTTTGGACAACACCTCTTCCACATCCTCTTTCACACCAACTCTTTCAAATCCTTTTTGGACACCACCTCTTCCACAACCTCTTTTGACACCACCTTTTCCACATTTCCTGGGGACACCACCTCTTCCACATCCTGTATGGACACCATCTCTACCACATCCACTTTTTGGAAACCACCTCTTCCACATTCATTTTGGAAACCACCTCGTCCACATCCTCTTTGGATACCACCTCTTCCACGTTCCCAGTGGACACCACCTCTTCCATATCCTTTTTGGACACCACCTCTTCCACATCCACTTTGGACACCACCTCTTCCACACCCTCTTTTGACATCACTTGTTCCACATCCTGTTTGGACACCACCTCTTCCACATCCTCTATGGACACCACCTGTTCCACATCCTCATTGGACACCACCTGTTCCACATTCTGTATGGACACCATCTCTTCCACATCCTCTTTGGACACCACCTCTTCTACATCCTCTTTGGACCCCACCTCTTCCACATCCTTTTTGGACACCACCTCTTCCACATCCTTTTTGGACACCACCTCTTCCACATCCTCTTTGGACACCACCTCTTCCACATCCTCTTTGGACACCAACTCTTCCACGTTCCCAGGGGACACCACCTCTTCCACATCCTTTTTGGACACCACCTCTTCCACATCCTCTTTGGACACCACCTCTTCCACATCCTCTTTGCACCACCTCTCCTACATCCTCTTTTGACACCAATTTTCCACATTTCCTGGGGACACCACCTCTTCCACATCCTTTTTAACACCACCTCTTTCACATTCTCATTGGACACCACCTCTTCCACATCCTCTTTGGTCACCATCTCTTCCACATCCTCTTTTGACACCACCTCTTCCACATCCTCTCTGGACACCACCTCTTCCACGTTCTCAGGGGACACCACCTCTTCCACATCCTCTCTGGACAACATCTCTTCCACGTTCTCAGTGGACACCACCTCTTCCACATCCTTTTTGGACACCACCTCTTCCACGTTCCCAAGGGGACACCACCTCTTCCAAATCCTTTTTGGAAACCACCTCTTCCACATCCTCTTTGGAAATCACCTCTTCCAGATTTCCTTGGGACACCACTTTTGCCACGTCCTCTTTGGACACCACCTCTTCTATATCCTCTTTGGACCCCACCTCTTTCACATCCTTTTTGGACACCACCTCTTCCACATTCTCTATGGAAACCACCTCTTCCATATCCTCTTTGGACACCAACTCTTCCACATTCCATTTGGACTCTACTTCTTGCACATCTGCTTTGGACACCACCTCTTCCACATTCCTTTTGGACACCACCTCTTCCATATTCTCTTTGGACACCACCTCTTCCACATTCCCTTTGTACACCACCTCTTCCACATTTCCTTTTTGACATCACCTCTTCCACATCCTCTTTGGACACCATCTCTTCCACATCCTCTTTGGACACCACCTCTTCCACTGTCCTATTTGGTCACCACCTCTTCCACATCCTCTTTGGACACCACCTCTTCCACATCCTTTTTGCAGACCACCTCTTCCACATCCTCTTTGTACACCACCTTTTCCACATCCTCTTTAGACATCACTTGTTCCACATTTCCTTTGGACACCATCTCTACCACTTCCTGTTTGGACACCACCTCTTCCACATCCTCTTTGGACACCACCTCTTCCACATCCTCTTTGGGCACCACCTCTTCCACATCCTCTATGGACACCACCTATTTCACGTTCCCTATGAACATCACCTCTTTCACATCCTCTTTGGACACCACTTATTTCACGTATCATATGAACATCACCTCTTTCACATCCTCTATGGACACCACCTCTTCCACATACTCATTGGACACCATCTCTACCACATTTCCTTTGGACACCATCTCTACCACTTCCTGTTTGGACACCACCTCTTCCACATCCTCTTTTGACACCACCTCTTCCACATCCTGTTTGGACACCACCTCTTCCACATCCTCTTCTGGCACCATCTCTTCCACATCCTCTTTGGACCCCACCTCTTCCACATCCTCCTTGGACACCGTCTCCTCCACATCCTCTCTGGACATCACCTCTTCCACATCCTCTTCTGGACACCAGCTCTTCCACATCCTTATTGGACAACATTTTCCACATCCTATTTGGACACCACCTCTTCCACATCCTCTGGGGACACCCCCCCTCTTCCACATCCTTTTTGGACACCACCTCTTCCACATCCTCTTTGGACACCACCTCTTCCACATCGTCTTTGGACACCATCTCTTCCACGTCCTATTTGGACACCACCTCTTCCACATCCTCTTTGGATACCAACTCTTCCACGTTCCCAGGGGACACCACCTCTTCCACATCCTCTTTTTATACCACCTGTTCCACGTTATTTTTGAACACCACCTCATCCACATACTCATTGGACATCCTCTTTGTACACCACCTTTTCCACATCCTCTTTAGACATCACTTGTTCCACATCATCTTTGGACACCACATCTACCACATCCTCTATGGACACCACCTCTTCCACCTCCTCATTGGACACCACCTCTTCCACATACTCATTGGACATCACTTATTCACGTTCCCTATGAACATCACCTCTTTCACATCCTGTATGGACACCACTTCTTCCACATCCTCTTTGGTCACCACATATTCCACGCTTACCTTATAACACCACCTCTTCCACATCCTCTCTACCACATTTCCTTTGGACATCATCTCTTCCACATCCTTTTTGGACACCACCTCTTCCACATCCTCTTGCGACACCATCTCTTCCACATCCTTTTTGCGCACCACCTATTCCATGTTTCCCTATAACATCATCTCTTCCACATCCTCTTTGGGCACCACCTCTTCCACATCCTCTATGGACACCACCTCTTCCACATTTCCTTTGGACACCACTTCTTGCACATCTACTTTGGACACCATCTCTTCCACATCCTCTTTTAACACCACCTCTTCCACATCATCTTTGGACACCACCTCTTCCACATCCTCTATGGACACCACCTCTTCCACCTCCTCATTGGACACCACATATTACACGCTTACCTCATAACATCACCTCTTCCACATACTCTCTGAACACCACCTCGTCCATGTTCCTTGATGACACCACCTTTCCCACATCCTCTACGGACACCACCTCTTCCACATACTCATTGGACACCACCTCTTCTATATCCTCTTTGGACACCACCTTTTCCACATCC